GTAGTGGTAGGAGGGAGTGGAAGGGGACAGAGGTTATGTGTGTCTGGAGCGCTGTTGATCTTGTTGTGGAAGTATGAAGATTTGACAGTATGGACTTCAGCAGAGAAAGATGAAAGCAAAGACTGATACATACACAGGTCTGACGGACGTTTTGATTTGCGTCATTTTCTCTCTGCTGCCCTGAGTTTGGTCCAATGCTCATGAAGAACATCGGATAACCAGGGGTTAGAGGATGCAGTCCATGCTGGCCTGGCGGAGAGAGGACAAATATCATCTAGACAAGAGGTTAGAGTAGAGCATAAAGTGTCAGTTGCTGCATTCACATCCAGAGATGAGAAATAGGTAGGTGAGGGAAGAGAGGAGGATACAACAGAGGAAAGATGGGAGGGGGAAAGGGAGGGTAGGTTTCGTCTAAAAGTAACCGGTATAGGGGTTGGTGGCCCACAGGTAGCTAAATGTTATTTAAATGTAATGAAGAAATGGTCAGAGATATGTCAAGTCAAGTCAAGTCACCTTTATTTATATAGCGCTTTTAACAGATTGTGTCAAAGCAACTGAACAGCATTAATTAGGTGTCAATAACGCAATTAGTGTATTAATTAATAGTGTGTCAATAATGCAAAATGACAATAGTAAACACAATTTTTTCAGTTAAAGACAGTTCATCATTGAATTCAGTGATGTCAACATCCAGCTCAGTTTAAATAATATCTTTGCAGTCATGTCAACGATATCGCTGGGAATGAAGGGTTTTACCAAAATGTTGTCTGTAATACAATTGCGTGTGTAAATTAAGTCAAGTTGGTTGCCTGATTTGTGCATGCTTGTAGTGGTAAGTCATTTGAGATCAAATGATGAGGCACCATTTGGTTCAGGTGTGCCTCATCACATGCCGCCAGCTCTGGCTATTTCAGCACCTCCTCTCTCAAGCACCCACTCCTGTCGGGAGCCTGGTGAAGGGCAGCGATTAAGGGATGGGGTGATGCTGATAATTATGGGGGAGGCAGCCAACTCGTCACAACTCACACACACACACACACTGATCTTACTGTCTATATGAGGATTTATTACACACATTTATTCTGACATGTGATTTCACTGATAGAAGTTCAGCTGCAGTATTAATATCATGAAGAGAAAAGAAGAGACTCTATAACATCTCACAGTTACTGATTCATCATGCAGCTCAAAGCATTATGCATAGAATCTCTCGTCAGTCTATTTTGATTCATCAACACAGTTTCACTGATGATCCAATAAATACATAAAACCCAGGATAGAGCGTCCGAGTGAATGTGGTCGGGACTGAGTGGATGAGGATCATTGTGTCAGAGACGCTGTAGAAGGACAGAGTTCCTGCACTGTGATCCACAAACACTCCTATTCTCCTGCTGATGGACTCTACAGAGAGAGCAGTCCGTATGTTATTGTGTAAGAATGAGTAACTGGAGGAAGAGCAGATCAAACTCCAGGACTGATCATTACATCCAAACAAACACTCATTACCCCGTCCCTTCCTGCTGATGCTCTTATATGATACTGATATACACACACCATAATCTCCACTCCACTCAATCTCCCAGTAACAGCGTCCACACACACTCTCTCTACACAACACCTGCCACACATCAAATCTGTCTGGATGACCAGGATACGGCTGATCTCTGCCAGTGTTAGTAATCACTCTGTTGCTCTTAGACAGACGGAGGAGTTTATTCACTGTGTTCAGATCAAGAGTGAGCTGATGGGAATCTGATGGAGAGAAAACACATCAGAATCAGGAATTATGAATCTGTTTGATCTTTTCATGTAGCTGAACTCTTCATGTTCAGTGTATC